ACTTGTCACCATTCTCCAACACCACCACCACCCAAATATAACAACTGCTACTACAACTTCCACCAACGCCACAACCAAATACAACTTTCCGGTCAAGGTTACTGTATGTTTGCGTCTTAATTAAGGCGCTACTACAGTTGACATTTAGAAACAACACCATTAAGAAACAGAACAGAGCCCTTCCATGCACCATGGCCAAGATGTATGGAAAGGGTAAGAGTAAGTAAATTGCTAATTTTTAATTACATATAAGAATTAATAATCTTAACAATAACGTATTTTGAGACTCGCATTGATTTGAAAATTAGTAAAACTAAAAATGTTGACATAATAACTTTTGGATTAACTTTTTAACCCTCATATCTAATATATGCATTTGTTTTATTTGAAACTTTCCGTAAATGATTGTAAAAATTATTATTTTTTCATTATCCCTTTTAGCGGCTATTGAATCAGACGATCAACAAAAATTACGATGGCAAGTTGAACTTGAATTCGTACAGTGCCTGGCTAATCCCAATTATTTAAACTGTAAGTAAATTCATTTCCTTCTTATGAATATATTGAAAAATCGAAAATTTCTTATGTAGTTTTAGCTCAACGCGGTTACTTTAAGGATCAAGCATTTATCAATTATCTTAAATACCTGCAGTATTGGAAAGAACCCGAGTATGCCAAATATCTAATGTACCCGATGTGTTTGTATTTCCTTGATCTATTGCAATACGAACACTTTCGGCGTGAGATTGTCAATTCGCAATGTTGCAAATTCATCGATGATCAAGCTATATTGCAGTGGCAACATTATACTCGTAAGCGTATTAAAATGTTTAATAGTGTCAATGGTATGGGCCAAATGAATGCTGCTGATCTGGCAGCAATGGATGCACAGCAGCAGCAGCAACAAAATGCGCAGCAAAATCAACAGAATCAACAACAGCAACAAGCGGGACAACAGCAACCGGGAGCTGCTCACGCGCATGTAGGCTTGCAAAATGGCTTGGTGAATAATGTGCAACAACAACAGCAACAGCCACCCCAGCAAGCACAACAACAGCAAAGTGTTGGCAATGCAGTAATGGGCATGCCAAATGGGAACAATACCGCCGCTAATAGTAATAACTGAAAGCGCTTCTAGATTTGTATAGTTTTCCTCCCATTAGTTAGTAATTTATTTAGTCATTGTAAACTGTAATTAATATAGAAATCATTACTATCAAAAACATTTACGTGCGCTTGTTTTATTGTATCTCATACTTCTTTATACCTAATAACTTGGGAACGAAAAAAAGAACAAAATAAATTTATATTCGATAATTTTTGCTATTGGTTCAGATCCGACATTTTTATTTTTAATTTTAGTTATTCAGCATGAGTAACTCGTTTTTCTATGGGGTGTATTTGCTCTGCAGTCAAAGTGTTGAAAAACGCTACAATGGACGCTGCTATATTGGTTTCACCGTAAACCCCAAACGCCGTATAAATCAGCATAATCGGGGTAAAGATTTTGGTGGCGCCAAACGTACCAGTAACAAAGGACCCTGGCAAATGGTTATGATAGTACATGGGTTTCCAAATAATATTTCAGCATTGCAGGTGAATATTAATGCAAAGATTGTATATGTTAGTCATATAATTATAATTAAAAAATATATATATCGATTCTACATTCATTGACAGTTTGAGTGGGCGTGGCAACAACCGGCCCTTTCTACACGACTTAAACAATATTCGGAGTTGCGACGTAAATATCCAAAAGAAAGCCATTTCCAATACAATTTTCGAATATTGAGCCGTATGTTAAATGTGGGCCCATGGAATAGATTACCACTCACTATACGTTGGTTAGAAAGCGAATACGAATGTGATTTTATAGTATGTACCAATAAAATATTTCAATTATCAAGCACAGTTAGTATACAAAACATATTTCTTTCTTCTTTACTAGCTTAAACCACCGCTTCATATGGAAACTGTAAGCGGCCACGTTCAGTTACCAAATTCTCAAGTCTCTCGACATAAAAATGGCGAGGAACCACCAAAGGCTATTTGGGCAACCGAGTGTCACTTATGTATGCAACGCATTGAGGACCCTGAGCGTTCGCGTATTGGATGCACTAACTCACTATGTAAACTCACTTGTCACATTATTTGCTTAGCCAATTATATATTATCTTCCGATGAAAACAATCGTGGGCATTACATACCAATTGCTGGTGAATGTCCGTTGTGCGAGGAGAAATTTACTTGGGTCGCTTTACTACAGCGTAAGCGTAAGATTCAACAAAGTGGTGTGGAACATATTGAAGAGGAAGATGAGGACGATAAATATGAAGATGATAGTGATATTAATGTAACTAAATCTGATAGTGAGAATGAAAGTGCTGAACCTAACAATAAATTCGATAAATTGATTTATGCAAGTTGCCGTTCTTAGGGAGCAAATATACAAAATGTAAGCGGCGATCAAGATGAAATGAATTGAGTGACTGATAGCTATGAAGAGAAAATTGAATAGATTTTAATTAAATGGAAAATAAACAATGCTAATTCGACGAACCTCGTAAATTGTTACGTTACATTTGAAGAAGTTATGTCCATATAGCAGAATCTTCAATGGAGACAGAGATATAAAATACCGAACAATGGAGCAATTTTGAGGCTGAAAAGTTGAATCCAGGTACTACATAACTGAAGTTACATTTAAAATAAAAATTAAATTATTATTTTTGTCCAAGTCAAATCAACTTTATTTTCGTACTTTTGGGAAACTTAGAAAAATGCTTTTTTTGTTATTGTAAAATTATATTAAAAGTGGAAAACTCGCAGAGGTAAAATTATGATACAAGTAATTGAACATTTTTATTTACCTCAAGTCAACTTGTACTTGGTCGTGACTTTTGATTTTAAGGTCAATCTTTATTATTATGAGTCAATACCTTATTGTTTACATTTTCCAAGTCAATGACCCTTTGTTTACTTTATGATCAATGAACTTTGTATATTTAGCCAAGTCAACAACCTTTTTCGATTTAGTCGAAGTTCACAACCATTTTTTATTTAGCCAAGTCAACAACCTTGTTTATATTTAGGTCAGTGACCCTTTGTTTACATTTTAAGGCCAATGACCTTTGTTTACATTATGAGGTCAATGACCTTATTGTTTACATATTTCCAAGAGTCAATGACCTTTGTTTACATTTTTATGGATCAATGAACTTTTTTCTTTAGCAGTCACAACTTACATTTAGCCAAGTCCACAACCTTTTTCGATTTAGCGAAGTTACAACCATTTTTATTTAGCCAAGTCAACAACCTTGTTTACATTTAGGTTCAGTGACCCTTTGTTTACATTTTAAGGGATCAATGACCCTATTGTTTACATTTTTCCAAGGTCAATGACCTTGTTTACATTTATGAGGTCAATGAATTCTTGTTTACATTTAGCCAAGTACAACAGCCATTCCGATTTAGCGAAGTCCACAACCTTTTTTTATTTAGCCAAGTCAACAACCTTTGTTTACATTTAGGTCAGTGCCCTTGTTTACATTTAGGGTCAATGACCTTTGTTTAAATGAGTCAGACCATTTACATTTTCCAAGGTCAATGACCTTTGTTTACATTTATGGGGTCAATGAACCTTTGTTTACATTTAGCCAAGTCCACAACCTATTTTAGATTTAGCGAAGTCCACAACCATTTTTATTTAGCCAAGTCAACAACCTTTGTTTCATTTAGGTCATGGTCTTGTTTACATTTTAATAATGACCTGTTTGCTTATGGTCAATGACTATTGTTACATTTTAGGTCAAACCTATTGTTACATTTTCCAAGGTCAATATCTTTGTTTACATTTATAGGCAATGAACTTTGTTTACATTTAGCCAAGTCCACAACCTATTTCGATTTAGCAAGTCCACAAATCATTTTTATTTAGCCAAGTCAACAACCTTTGTTACATTTAGGTCAAGTGGTCTTGTTTACATTTTATAATCAATGACCCTTTGTTTACATTATGAGGTCAATGACCTTATTGTTTACATTTTCCAAGGTCAATAACCCTTTGTTTACATTTATGTGGTCATGAACTTTTGTTTAATTTAGCCAAGTCCACAACCTATTTTAGATATTAGCGAAGTCCACAACCATTTTTATTTAGCCGTCAACAACCTTTTTACATTTAGGTCGGTAGCTGTTTACATTTTAAGTCAATGACCCTTTGTTTATCATTATGAGGTCAATGACCCTTATTGTTTACATTTTCCACACAATGACCCTTTTACATTTTAGCAAGTCGAATCTTTTGTTTACATTTACCAAGTCCACAACCTATTTTCGATTTAGCGAAGTCCACAACCATCTTTTTATTTAGCAAGTCAACAACTCTTTGTTTTACATTTAGGGTCAGTGACTTTTGTTTATCATTTTAGGGTCAATGACCTTTGTTTACATTATGAGGTCAATACCTTATGTTTAATTTTCCAAGTAATGACCCTTTGTTTACATTTTAGGGGCAATGACCTTTTGTTTACATTTAGGCCTGTGGAATTGTCGGGTTCATGCTCCATCTCAACTCATTTAATTTTAGCCATAGTACAAAACCTTTTTAGCATGTAGGTGGTGTTTGCTTTGCTTACATTTTATGGGACAATAATACCTTTGTTTATATTAGGAGGTCAATGACCTTATTGTTTACATTTTTCTAAAAGGTCAATGACTCCTTTGTTTACATTTATGAGGTCAATGAACTTTTTGTTTACATTTAGCCAAGTCCACAACTTTTGGCTACATTTAGCCAAGTCCACAACCTATATTCGATTTAGCGAAGTCCACAACCATTTTTTTATTTAGCCAAGTCAACAACCTTTTTTTACATTTAGGGTCAGTGACCCTTTTGTTTACATTTTAAGGGGTCAATGACCCTTTTGTTTACATTATGAGGTCAATGACCTTATTGTTTACATTTTTCCAAGGT